ATAAATTTATAATCATAATTATTACAGTGAATATTTCACCAGTTTTTAGTTTTATTCATTAAGGATACAATTTAATTATAGAAAAAAGAAAAATAACTGGAATAACACAGAAAAAAAAATAAGCTAGCAAATAACTGAAAATAATTGTTTATGTTTAAGGTGAAGAAAAAATGGAAAATCTGGAAAAAATAAATCACTTCTGACATTAATCAGATTAAAGCCTCGAAGTAGTGGCAAGGACCATAGATTTGCATAAACCATTTGCTGTGATATAGAGTGTGTTCGCGTTATTACTAGCCAGTGTTTTTCTCGTAAATGGTAAGTACTAGAAAAAAATAAAAGAGGAAAAAGTTCTGCAGGTTTCTTCGACCAATATAATAGCGTATATAATTTTATTATATTGGCAATATTTTTCGAAAATCGTACCACAGCGTTTTATAATAACGAGTAATGGATAAAGGAAAACAGGTTGTGTTGGTAATAAACATTAATTTCAACGAATGTGACTATTTAAAAAAATCACAAAGCCAGTTAATAAAACAATAGTAAGCCTACAATAACAAGCTTGACAAATAAATAGTTGAAAATTAGCTACTCGATCTTACATAAATCCTCCAAGACCGCCTTCAAGCAAAACAAATCACATAATTTTTTAAGTAACACAGTACTTTACCTTTAGGACATAGTCGGCTAACGTACATAATCGCCGTACATACTTCACAAGGGCCTCTATAATATTTTCAAATGATACTTCTCGAGTTTGTTTACTCAACGTATCTTAAGTAAATCCTGAACTATTGCAAAGAAATCAGTTTTGCTCGATACGTCGCGCGTAAACATGGAGTGGGGCATCAAAGAGAATCATATCGCCATGTACGCGTTGCACAAATGAAACAAAATTGTAGTTGAGATTTTCGGTCTCCTGAAACCATTAAAAATAACGAAAGAATTCATCAATCGTGCAATGAAACGATATAGCGAGATGTCTTCTGTCGATGACAGATCAAGAAACGGTCGACCACGTGAGACAAGAACAAAAGCAGCCATCAAAGCCGTAGCTCAGAGGATTCGACGAAATCCGACCCGCGAGCAGAAAATCATGGCTAGGAAAATGAAAACCCCACAACGAACCACGTCGCGTATCATCAAACAAGATCTTAGGTTTGAAGCCTACCGAAGAAGCACCGGGCAGCGGTTGACAGAGGCTTTACGTCAAATAAGAGTCAGGAGAGCAAAGAGATTGCCTCGGTGGCACGCGAATGGCGGTTACCGGCAAATTCTTTTCATAAGCGAAAAAATGTTCACGGTGGAAGAAAAATTTAACAGGTAAAATGATAGAAGCTCGGGAAGCCGCTGAGAAAATTCCGAAGGTGGAAAGGAAGCATCACCCGGCTTCAGTGATGCGGTTCAGATATGGGGAGTGTCGTACGACGGCGTCACTGAACTGCATTTCTGTGAGCAGGGAGTCAAAATACATGCAGCCAACTACCAAAGTGACGCTTTGGAAAAGATAATGAAGTCTTTAAGTGATACCTTGTTTGCGGGAAAGCACTGGGTATACTTCATCGAGACTCAGCACCGACACACAAAGCGAATTTTTCGCCGCCGAAGATTGGTCCTCAGGAAATCCAGATCTCAATCCTTTGGATTACCAACTGTGGGATGTTTTAGAGGAGAAGGCCTGCTTTAAGCCTCATCGAAATCTCGAGGCGTTAAAAGCCGATTTAGCGAAGACAGCAGCTTTGATACCGCTAGAAGTGGTGCGTGTGGCAATAAACGAGTGACCGGACTGATTGAAAAAATGTGTAAAGGCAAAGAGTGAACATTTTGAGCAATTTAATTATTTATCACGTTGCTTAGTTAATAAGGAACAAATAACATATATTTCTTCGTATTTATTTGATTTCCACTATTAATTAAGCGCCTTTTTACGAGGGACAGAACTTAGGGGACTATTACATCGATAATAGGTTAACGTCCAGCGTTTCGAAAGGCATTAACATTAACGAAGCGTGATAAAAACTCTATTTCAGGCGTGAAAGGTTTTAGCAATTAATTACATAGATCGTTCAGCGCTGTGTGCCCCCTTTAATCGATCGAAACGCGATATCCAGTAATACTCGCGACACCGTTCGCGCAAAATATAAAAGCCACGCTTTAACCTGCACTCCCCCCATTTCTCCCAACGCCTCTGATAATTAACGTCATCCAGCTTTTAAACGAGGACATTTCAAGAGCGCGCAAACAGACTATGCCTGAAGCATCACCTAAAAGGATTACACGTCGCACAAACGACGTAGACTGTTTGCCTTATAGATGGATCGACCTACCTCCATGGCAAACATCGTGTTACCGAACCCATCGCTTCGATTCTTAAGCTGGCAAAAAGGGGAAAAAGGCTGAATATGTTTAAGTCGTGCCGCAATGGAAACGCACGACCGTTCGATCGATCCATCGATGATTTGGTCGAGATTTAAAGTGTGTATAGGTACACGTTCGCGAGGGCAAATCGTTGGAAGAGTTCTTCCCATTGATACGTCTACAATTAAATGAACTCCATTTTTTAAATACCAATCTTTAGTAACCTTGTTAAGCACACTTAATGTAAAGTGTTAAGGCTTTTGGTTTAGCTTTTGTGAGACTCTTGTTACATTCCATATTCTTTACGCCAGATGCCCAGGCCCAGAAAAGTGTTTTATGGACTCAGAAACTCACGTTTCTGCAGAATATGCACCCTATGCATTCGGTAGCGATTGACTTGTCATAAAGTCACGCTGTGACAGGTAAGGACCGTGCAAAGCTCAGGAGTTTGACCCCGGGACGGCACATGGGCAAGCGAGGTATTTCGTTTCCATCGCCTAATTCTTCTGTCACTCGAGGCTATTGTATATGATCCGATTCGTCGATGTTATCGCGTTCAGACAATAATAACAATACGTGTGCCCGACTTCTATGATTGTGTCGGAGAGGGTGGGCCTATGGAGATATAATCCAATTAGACCCGCATTTCTTTCACGACCAATCTTTCCAGCTCTGCATAGTAAGCAGCTCGATCTAGTTAGGACCTTTTGAGTCTGCCCCCTAATATGACCAAGATGCCGTGCTGCCACTCTGACAACTTGGAAATTCCAGGGTGAACAGCTTGTGGACGATAGAAGTCTGACCAAGGGGTGAAAATGTGCTGATTTGCTATTCAGGTTCACTCAGCCCTAGAGTTTTAGGATGAATAAAGCAGAAGGACTGTTTAAGAACGGTCAAAAACGAAGTTTAAGAGTCTAAACAACTAAACATCAGGCACAATCTGTAACTTCATCTTTTAGGAAGTATCCCAAGGCGGATAAATAACTTCTATTAATCGAAGTAGCTACATTTCTATTCATCGACGTTAGTGTTAAGGATGCTCAAGTTTAGACCAGGTTTACGATACGGACGCGACTCTGTTATTTTTGAGATTAAGGTTTGAATACGCGTTTAATGTTTCGTTTGCTAGTTATTCCTTATTGCCAGGAGGGCTGCAAACCTCTCATAAAAGCGGAGAATTTGGAGTTTCTTCGTGCATCTCAATAGCAATTGACGTATCATAAACCCGCGCGAGCCGAGGCACATGCTCGCGAGCGAGCGGTACTGTTATCCTGGGTTTTTCCCAGCTCAGGTATTTATGGATAATGAAAGAATAGGATGAAAACGATAAAAATACCGGTGGATTATTCATTGAATGCACGAAATTATTCCTTTGATCTGTTATCGACTGCTTATCCATTACCAACTGCTCATGCCAGACTCGATCGTCGCTTATCATTGTTCATTGAAGAGTAACTGCGATAGCCTTACTCTATGACTATTGGCTGATTAACAGCGAAGACGTCCCAATTTCTCCTGCACCTCTCATTTCTGGACTCTAAACCCTGCAGAAGCCTCATCTTTGCTTTACCGATCTGTATGCACTATGTAGAGATAAGGAGATAGCCAGCGGGACGGTGAAGGAGCAAAAGGGGTACTTCGCTCGCATCGCCTGACCTCACCTTTGACGCTCTCGTAGCTCTTACGCTTAGGTTCTTAACTGCACATGCTGACATAGTAGTAGGACTCCTGTATTTACCGAGGACAATTTTTACACTATATTAATATAAAGTTAACACTTTGAGTTCGTGTCAACGCTAATGCTTTGAAGTTCGTTGCATTGCTGGCTTTGCACTATTTCACTCGGTCTCGATGTCACACTCTTCGTCACGCGATTCGATTAGTAGATTTGACCGTTTTGGCTAATATGTAACACAGAGATGAGATAGGCCTATTCCATTACAACTTAAATAAGAGAGTTATTTCCCGAAAAATTTAGTAACGCATACTAATAAATACTTTTTCATCATTTCTTCTATATGTT